AATTTGACTCAGAAGATGGTTGTGAGCTCTCAATCGAACGGACCCTTTGCAGTACACGTTTTCTCTAATGCGGGGGTCTGGGTGTGCAGACCTCAGAATACCTTTATTAGCATTCAAACTGTCACTTTTCTGCAATAACGTTCCCCAACCGGCGCTCCGTAGAGTATTCCACCATGCCGTGCACATTAACATGGGAAAAACTATGGAGCTCGAGGTACCCAAATATAAAAAGGGTAATTTGATGTACCCAAATGCGTTTTGCGTGTTTACATTGAGCTGTTTGGTTAAAATTCGATCCCCGCGTAATGGCACTGCCCAATCGTATTACAATATACTTATCAACACAGCTACACGTTTTGCACGTCCTACCGACGTGGCGGTGATGGTTGTGGGGAACAGGGGCTAATGGTAGCTCCAAAATCGGTAAAGTTAATATACTGTAGTGATATATCACCAGGTAGACCAGTTAATATAAAAATATTACTTAAGGGCCTATTAGTGTTTTATTCTGAGACAGTATTATTTTGTTAAATTACTACTCAACACGATATTATATTTTTAAGATTGCGTAATCGGTATTAGTCCACCAAGCATATGCCGTTAACGCTCGACTAGCTGAAGTATTACTGAGGGAAATGGAGTCGGGGACTATTGTGAGGGTAACGACAAGGTTAATGTGGTGTATTGGCACTGCTGAGCGCATAAATCTAGCGTCACAGGCAACAGGACCTATGAGACGCACGATGTGGACGAGACAATGGGAAGAGGCAGGCTTCGTTTTATTTTATCTGTGATCGAATTACCATTTCAAAACGGCAAAAAGGGTCTATTTCCCGTATATCGATGTGGCTTTGGTGGTTGATCGATCCCTAGCGGCCGCTTTGGCTGCCGTAGCCCGATTTATCAGCCGCTCTAGCTAGATCGATTTGTACATTTTAAAGACCTCGAATTAATAAAACGACCTCTTTAAAGATAAATAGAGCATCAGGCTAAGTGAAAAGGACAAAAGCACAGAAATGCACAATATTATCTACTTTTTTTAACTCTCCGTTAGTATTAAAAAAATAAGTTAGCTTTTAAAAAAACTGACTTACTACTGATATTTATAATCAAAAGTAGTACTATTACTATCAGAAATATCATATGATATTTTTGTTGGTGGGGAAGCCTCGCCGAGAGCTTGTCCATTGACGAGGCTTCCCCACAGCCATCACTTCATCCTACTGGTACGCCAAAGCAAATTTTCGATCTTTTTTTAAGCTGCATTAATTCCATTCATTTTTTTAATGAATTGGGGGCGACTATTCAATAAAATGCAATGCGCTTTGGGTCGACGCTGCGGCAACGTTGTATGCCATACCTTCTCTCCGTATAGGTATTGTGGTTTCTACTTAAAATTTCCGTGCGCGGTTCTTCGAATCAACCAACAAGCAATCGCGCAATCTACGTAATAGCATTTATCATGCATCTCAATAAGTATAATATGGAGACCTGCCCCAATCGGCAATATGATTGAGGGCGTTGAAGATCGCAGCTGTGCTACAGGACCAAGCTCGAGTGTCGGGCACGACGCCTTATCAGAGTATAGGTTTTCTCCGCCCCGAAACGAGCCTATTTCGCGAACTGCAGTATCCTCGATTTCGCCCTTAACGGTTCGTGTTTCACCGTACCCTCTGCGTGAGAGAACTCCTCCGCAAGCGCCCCAAGCTTCAGATATCTTTCGAGGCCAGCGGGCTCGTGTATCATTAGATGCTTCGACCGGAAACGCCGACCAGCATCGATTGCAGTTGGTAGTCCAAGGGATTGTCAAGACTACAGTCGGTCAACGCGATTCGTCCGGCAAGCAGCTGGACATTTTTGCTGCTAATGGTGCTTCTTTTAGTGAGATCATGCACAAGTTATGGGAGAAGTTTAGCTGCCACGTCAAAGGACAAGCTAAAAACATCGATGATGTTTGGTCAGTTGAGCGCCCTGACGAAACACCATGGAGCAGTGTAATGCAGTTCAAAGCTAACAGCCGTATCGTTCCGTCAGCTAAGACACCAGAGCTCTGGAACCGGTGGACCATATCCCAACGTGGGAACACTGTAACATTGATGATATATGAATACGGGCTGGGGACCCCCAACGCGCGAGTTCTGGACGAGTTTATGCAGGCATGCATTCGCCCGCAGCACACCGATCGTTCTGGTGCTGCAGCAGGGATATCTGTTCGTGAGATAGTGGGGCGATTGCAAGAAATTTGGGGAAACACATACCAAGCAAGTGCGCCAGTATGGAGAATGTGGGCCAACGAAATAATGCGTAACTTGGACCGCTCTACCTGGGATGCTGCTTTGCTGGACAACCCACCTTTTAGACTGGAACGTTATCTAAGTCCTTCCGACGGGCAAGTCCACGAACACCTGGTGAATCTGACTAGGTTGACACGTGTGGCACTAGACACGATCGAAGCTGCTCTAGCTGATAACGCAGATCTCCGAAAGGGATGGGAAGCATACGGGCGCCGCTTAGAAAACCAAAGGCACGCATTGGAAGTGCGTAAATCTACAATCGAGGGATCTCTAGCTGATATCCCTCTTCCTGATGCTGGTGATGTCCTTGATCCGACCTCTACAATAAATAAAATATTGAGGATACTGAGCACCAAGAGTAAATTCGAAGCTGGAAATTTATTTTTCGCTTAGCATTCAGACATTTCGACCAGCTCTCTTGTCGTAAAATCTAGCGCTTCACTTCCTTCGTTTGCTTGCAATTCGCTGCTCTCAGAAAAGTGTCACTGTCGTTTTCCTTTTCCAGTGACCCACTAGGGTCAAAATATCCTTCCCGTTTCCAGCCGCAATGCTCAAATACCTTGGCCATATCGAAGCCAATGAATCGATCGAACGTTTCTACCACAAATGGTAAAAGATCATTGCTGCTTGACACATTATAGTGTCTCTTAAAAGACTGCTTGATGTATCCGAACATGAATTCGATTGGGTTGAAAAATGAACAGTAAGCAGGCAAAAATATTGGTACGATTCCAATGCTCCGTAGGAAGTGGATGATTTCAGGATCACGATGAATTGAGGCACTGTCCATTATCCAGACAGAGTTTGAACCAGGATACTGGCGTACATGCCCCCGTTCTGAGTAAGCGAAATCACGACAGTAGTTGAAGAACTGCACGCGATCAAAAGTTCCATCGCAGTTATAGTAATCGAGAATACCGGTAACACACATGAACGCCAGCATCGATACTCTTGGTTTACGCTGGAAATCTCCGCGTATTGCTATTGTTTGCCCTCTTAGCGAGTATCCTCGCTTTCTGATCATGCCCCGGTTGTCAAAAGAAACTTCGTCGAGAAAGACAAGGTTGCGGTAGAACCAGTTGACATGACTGAGCTCTTCTACAAACCGGAACACATCAAGTTCTTTGATGTGCATAGCCCTCCGTTCGAGAACTTTTCTTGTAAGGCCCCATCGTGAATATTCTGCCACACGGATGATCTAGAAATGCTCAGTTGGTGTGCACGAACGAATGCATCACGGGCCTCATCCGGATAAGCTAAGGGGTGGACTGCGTAGTAATTACACAGCCACTCCCGATGAGCAGTTGTGAATTTTCGAATAGCATTTGCGTCTACCCGCTGGTACGTCCCTGTCCGCTCGTACACATTAATCCAATTTCCGATGGTCTTAACGTTCTTTTGATAATAAATGTGGGCAAGCTGTGAGCGCGAGTATCCGAGACAGTAAAATCCGTAGAGACAGTGAAAAACTGTATTCGGGTGGGGATGCTGCCGAATAACGGCGTCTTCCATTCCGGACGCTAAACGGCAATGGGAATGACAGGAAGGTAGATCTGTAGCATGTAGACGTACTCATTGGCTAGCTAGAGAACGGAAACTCAAGTGACACGGTCGACTTAACCTCTTCGGAAGCGCGGCAAATCAGGGGTGGCAATTTGAAGAATGGTGATCGTGATGCAAATCTGGCTTTTGACCAATCAAAGCACTTGGGCGATTTGCGGGCAATAGCCCCGAAAATGTAAATTTAGCCTGAAAGCACATTACCAGTGACGAGATGTGGCACTGTGCCACATCTCGTCCACGGAACCTTCGTAGGCAATAGAGTGGTTCCTTGATATTTTGTGTGTCTTACCAGTCTATGCGGGTGTGCAGCACTTGCTATGCTGTAGTTGATCAGCACTTTGCGTCAGTGGAGTGGTCAGGCGCAGAAGAACCGGGTAATACTATTCATACGTGCTACTGCCGATGCTTTCTGACAAGCACTTTTAACCCTTATTAACATTATCCACTGAGCAAACACCAATTGCAAAACCGAAACCTACAATGGAAATGTTTAGATCGCCTACATAACTCTAGATATATACGCGCGAAGCGCTTGTAAAAGCTGGCTTGTCCCATAGCGAATTTGAAGGAGATTTAATTTTATAGACACACTATTTCAATATGAACTCCAAAACGAGTTCATGGCTACTTCCGACTCAGCGAAACAAGCACTTTCGTCAACACAATTAACTTTACATGTGTCTACGTATAATTTGTTGGTCTCACTCGCATCGGAGATCACATTCAAAAACGCCTACACTTGCTGTAGACTGGGCATTTGTCGTCTCATTTAGGGTGATCGATGTATTAAATTACTTTATGCCACCGAGCCAAGCTCAGTCGTAATATGGAGACGTGATATACAATACATTTTTTGTTCTCTTAGCCCAGTTAGCGACATTTTTTGCAATTCTGTGAGGGTACCTTTGGAGCACCTATTTGAGTTCACCAAATAGCCCTATCTAAATTTTAGTACCTCGAGCTCCGTAGTTTTCCCATTAAAAATGGACTACGGGCGAGGGTGCATACTCAGTAGAATACGAATACATGTGCATGTACCGGTACGCTGTTCCGCTGTTCTTCATCACGACGACGTCGTACCCTTGAATCTCTAACGATTTGCAGCTCGTCATCATTTATAGCCGTAATCGAGTTAGCCAACTTATGAGAATACAACCTCCTTCATTGTGCAATTCTCCCGCAAAGGCACCGACCCCCCCCCCTCCCCCCAGCTTCTGCAGCCCTATGCGTCTCTCTACGCTTCTGTTGATGCTTCCACTGATTGCTCATAGTGGCGCCGTCTCCAACAGTAGAACTGCTATCCAAGACGTTGACGAAAGCTTAGCAGAGCAAAATCGGTTTCTTCGGTTGAATGGGGGAATGCCTGGTGACGAGAAAGAGAGGCTCCTGAATTTTGGGTCGTATAAAAATTGATCCCGGGCACAAGTGCTTAAAGAAAAGCACATGCATTGAAAGCTGCACAAAAGGCAGAAGAAGCTGCGAAGAAGAAAATTATGGCAGATATTTGGTTCCAGAAGTTTAAGAGATACGAATACCTGTTCGCGACTGCGTTTTCGAAGTGGAAGAAGGAAAAGATGTCCCCCGAAGATGTCAGTAGATTTTTTGAACAAAAAGGCGTGGCTGGTTCGGAGGTGAATAGAATCGCTGCACGCTTCTACACTTATCGCATGAGCTTAGCTCATTGAGCTATCAGCGAAAAGTAAAGAGTGGTGCTAGATAAAAATCGAGCTGCTTCCAGTTCGCCTAAAGCAAAAACAATAATGTATACGAATACAGCCCAGTCTGACCTGTTGTCAGGATGCTAACTCAGAGGATTTATTTTATAGTATTTGATAGCATTGCCGGGCTGTCTGAAAGCCCCTATTGTGTGAGGGAGAGGCATCATTGACGACCGCAAATAGACACACATTCTCAATGTTTTTGGCAGGTCAGCTGCGATAGCATAACGTTGCCAATGAAAAGGAGACACTAAAAGTAACAAGAAATAGAAGTTTGAGCTTTTCACTTGTAATTTCCTTTGACTACTTTGGCTGTCGTCTCATTCTTCGCAATTCCATACATAATGGCCATGCGATCGGTTTTACGTGTACCCTGTTGGAGAGAAGCGGCCCGGCTCTAAGGGAGCCGAATTTTTAATAGAAGCTGGCTCGCGAAAACACTAAACTCCATATTTCATGTACAAATCGGGAATCCGGGCTTCGGCTCGGCTCGTCCCCAATATCACTCATGAGGTTCCATTAAGTAGTAGAGCAATTAGCTTTCACAACGTGCTGGAAAATGTGTGCGGAACACGGTGATACCCGAATATCGCTAAAAATTGAAGATCCTGCGATAAAAAAACCTAATGGTACCCAATATCCTCAATGAAATGAATCTTTGTGGCCACAATTTCAGCTGTAATTGACAGCTAATAATATTACGTAGAATCTCTAACAAAAAAACTGAAACATTTTATGGCTCGAAAAAAAATGTGTTACTTTCCAAACGGGGCACTCCATTGTTTTTAATTGTAACAACAATTGTGTGCCAATTTACGGCGTCGATTGGAGCGCCTAGATAGGAACAAACACCTATTGCCGATAAAAATGAAAAACTCGTATTTGCTCATAGCGTTAGTGTCACCCTGCCATGAGTATATATTTTCAGCTAGTCACTTTAATTTTCGAGATAGTCACTCTGTAAGCATAATGTACAGATGAATGGAATTTGTTGTGCTAATAACAGTTTCTAAAAAAACCTCCTTTTAAATTGAAATGGCTTAGATTTGTTTACTATACTTTATGAAGGAGGCGCACGATCTTAGCGGCTGGAAAGGGACGAGTCTGAAGAATGACTTCAACAGAAATGAACAAAGCTGCCATTGTGCCCTGTTCCATAGTTTTACTGGCAGGCGACAAACGTGACGGCTGGGGTCATTCATTGTGAAGGAGAGTGTGAGCACATAAGACACATGTAAATATTTAGTCAATATAAGGAGCAAGTTGACGAGGTCGCGGATATGTACGCTGGTGTTAGCTAAACACGATACTGTAGATCAAAAGGCACAGCGATCCTGCAAGCAGTGTCCACATCCGCATTGAGGAGTAAGTTCCAACAAAAGAATGATCCTTAGACAAAGATTGAAATCGGTTAGTATTAGGAAAGACAATCGATGAGGCTTTTCACGGATGAGAGGCAAGCGATGAGCTCGTCGACGATTTTTAAAGCGTCATCGTTCGAAAAGGATTAGAGAAGAAATGAGACAAACCTGTGTGATGTCTGAAGCCCCCCCCCCAAATTGTTGTATTGTGCCTTTCCCCAATTGGACCTTAAGAGGCTCGTCATGAGAAGGAGATGGTAGGGCTATACCAAAGATTTGATAAAGATTTAATCTTTGGCAGCCTCAAGTCCTACGCAAGGTCGGAACACGTTTGTACCGGTGTAGACAATACAGTCCGAATTGCGATTTTTCGCTGGTAATTTTCTCTTTTGTAGGCCCTACGCAAGAGGCCTGGCTGGTAAGAATATAACCAGCAATACAGGTATGCAGAGCTCAAATGACTTGATGAAGACTCGTCCAGGCGTTAGCTGTACTTAAGTATAAAATAACAAAATAGAAAATTTATCTCAGACATGAACGTACGGCTTTCTTAACCCCAGATAGGTCTGTTGTAGGACAAAAGAGCGGATCGAAGGCTAGCTGCACTCATGTGACATCGCTGCTGGGAACAACAAGCTTTTGTAGCTACGCAGGAAAATATGTGTATTTAATCTAATCTAACGATGTCCAACCAGGCAGCTTCAAAAGTGTATTTAATACCATAGCACTCATTACGTTATTATCAATATCTATCATTCATTTTGATACTTAGGTACATCATATATTCCTAGTTATTCCTGATCTTGATACGTCGAATACGTAGCGCTGTATCCGAATACCGCTATGTATCGTCGGTTGCTCCGAGCCCCTGCTCCCGGCTTCTCCCTCATTCATCAATTGAGCTAGAGCCGCCAAGATGCCAGGCGAACATACCACCGATGGTCAGCGTTTCCCAGTTTGCCACATCGTGATAATGAAGAGCTCGATCATGTGGATATAAAGGAGCAGCGCAAAACTGCTTATTCGAGTAGACTAAACGGACGTGTCGGATGAAAATGTGCAAGGTCTTGATACGATGCAAAGAGAGAGAGAGAGGGCTAAGCAAGAGGAAGGGCGCAAGCGGCAATTGCCCTTGCTTGACTACTTCGGACGTAGTGAATTTCCCATAGTTAAACACCTCGGAAAAGTAGTTTTTTTGTGGTTTTGCCTTACATATTACACGGGAGAGGTGAGATGGAGAAATTTTAATTCTGTCGGCGGGACTAGGGATTACAACGGGAGGGTAAAACGCACGATAGTACTTCTTAAACTGTAGTAGTATTTAAAAGTACTGGTTCGTGCAAACAGGAAAATTGGATGGCATACGGTTCAGACTTGCAGGAACATATTCTCAAGACTCACGCGCAAAAGCGTGAGTGCATTTTCCAACATCATTCATTGCAATGAGACATACTACTAAGTCGTAGTACTACCGATACCTCGAGTTTAAGTTCCGGCAACGGTGTGATAGTTGATCCACCAGGCCGTATATTTCTCGTAGACCTTCTCGTATCTGAGTTCGGCAGCTCCTCCAATCTCCAAACGCTTTGCTAATGACGTGGGGGTTTCTCCCTGCTTCATCATATGCTGAAAAGCCTTCTCCAACGCGTTCGCCTTCCACTTAGCCCAGCCGTTCTTCGCCTTCGAGATCAAGTTTGTAACCTTCGACGGGAGAAGTCCTCTCTCCTCCTCCTTGACATCCGAATCGTCGTTAGCTGTCGTCAAATCTTGATTTGCGTTGCTTCGCAGGAATCGCTTGGCGGCATCACCGTCCTCGACGAAGAGTAGACGGGTCAATGTGTCAATGTCCTTCATCGTTAACTGTGTAGATTGGGGCTCATTCGAGTTGGCGAGCTTAGAGATAGCATGGGTACCGGAAACGAAGGTTACCAGGCCCACAAAGAAGACCCACACTAAAAACCGCATGCTTTAATCTGTCAGGGCTTCGAAGACAAACTGAGGTCCAAAAGCAAAGTGAAGTCTGAAGACTACGGCGCGGCTAGAGAAACCTCGTCTCCCGGCAAAGCATGATCTACTATCTTGCGTTCGGATAAATATGGGATGGTGTTGCTGCCGATCCCTCTCCAGAAGCAGAAGTGTCTTCGTCTCATGTACCTCCCTCCAGGAGTACTACCCAAAATTTGCCTGTATTACTGCAATACCGTATTCCTTATGTGATTGGCGACAGTCAAATTCTTGAGGTGGTCCAGCCTTTCTGCCAGCATAAAAGATACCTGCATAAAAAAACTATATGACATGCTCAAAATTATATTGGTCGCCAAGCACATAAAGCGCGACGACACGAAATTTGAATCAATTTGATTGGCTGCTGGATTTGTCGCTAATGACCGAGCGTCGCCAATCACATACGGAATACGGTACATCAAAGCCTGCGCCGAATTAAAAAATACTTCGAAGTATCTTATAATAGTACACAATATTTAGTGTCTATTACATCAGTTGACGCACAAATTACAAAAATGCAGCAGTAAATCGTAAACAAGCTAACAACTTCCGATGTGTTGAAGACATTGTCTTCAGAGCTCGTCAGTGTTTTCTGTCTGGTCTTCCGAGGTACTTTTCAAGAGGTACCATGTTACTGCTCATAAAGGTATACACTATCATCTGATCACACGATCTCATAGACGGTCCTGCGACTGCGACAGCACACGCCTTCGGCGTCAAGTGCAAAACAGCAAGTTTTGCCGCTGAAGCACAAGTCTTTCGTTTTAGCTACTGGGATACTGTACACCAAGTTAAATACTGCTATTGTAGTTGGTTTCGTAAACGTGTAGCTGTCGTTTGACTCATCCTTTGTAAAGACCTTACCGTAGCTGTCTTGTCAAATTGTCACCACGTCCTTTTTGATTATGCCATGATATGGGATCGCGACCCGTCTGGTCCTGGACCACTGGTCCAGACTTTAGGATTGCGCCTTCCAAAAGGCACGTGCTGGAGAGCCCAACTGGATATTATGAGACGGGGCATTTGCCCCAACTCGCCCCAAACCGCGACCAAACCGAGACCAAACGAGCCCAACCTGAGCCCAATCCAGCCCAAGTGGAAGCCTTCTAAATCGAGCCAGCTCCTCGTGTATACGTATAGCCGAATAGAGCGATGTGTTGGAGCTGGATCTCTCAGCGTCCACGTGGTCTCGGCGCCGCGACTGCATTTCAGCGTTATCATGGAATTCAAGCTTGATAGAAATCAGTCGTATCAACTTTAAGATAACATGTGAGAAGGCCAAAATATATTGAGAGTTAGCGATATTCATTCGTCTGCGCTGCCTCTACAGACACGTACAAAGATAGCGGTAACGCAGGCACTGCAGCATCTTTTTGTCCACGTGACCTAGTGGTTCTGCGCCACAAAACATTTAAAAAAAAAGCAAGCAAGGCGTAGATTCCGCAGTTGTAGCTGTCAGTCTGAACCCCGAGTCCTGCGTCGAAGACTCTCACCCGAAACGCTTTCTGTGCACCTGGAGGCAGTAGCACTACCATCGTCTGCGCTACGGCACGTACGTTGACGACGTACGAAGAAGAACTCGAATCGTACACGTAAATGACTCCACCCTCGAGGTCCATCATAATAGCACACCAGTGGTTACCGTTGCAATTCACTGGAATCAACACCTTCTCCGTCGTCAGCCCAGATAACGCCTCTCGAATGATTTCGCTGGAGGTGTTCACGCTTCCGTCCACAACGATTCCCAGTGTCGAAGAATCGAAAACGGCAATATTGGGCTTACAACCAAACCGTTTGGCCAGTATTTTGTACATTACCTCGTCCGTTATCAGCTCTTTACCTGCCAATGCTAGCACATCCATCTACACAGACGTAGTTAGTTTACCATCATACTCTCGATTACACACTGGTTCATACCTGTGGGGTCAAAACTCAATCTGTCTCAGCTTTGACGGCAGGGCGGGGTCTTCCTCGATTGAATAGCTGGCATTACCGCAATTAGACAGATCCAGTTTCTCTATCCATGCCAGCGCGCGGGCGATCCTTCTGAATGCTGCTGCTGCAACGTGCCACTTTTTCATGAGCTTGATCGTTGAGTTGACGAATACTCCAACTCCTACTATTTCTAGAGCAATGTCCAGCTCGCGATGCCACGATTCTTTCGCTGAAACGCTGACACTTTAGCCCCGCACTTCCTTATTAGATCCATCGGAAAGATTCTAACTATTTCATCAGGCCGCATCAACGGCTTCGTAGCTGGAAGCTTCCTCAAGTCGTGCGCGATTGGCGGCTTCGGTTTCGTCGCGAAGACGAAGAGCTTAAACATGAGTATGTTCTCTTGGGCCGAGTCAAAAGTTACATTGTCAGAGAGAAGCTCGAATGCCGAAATTAGGTTGAGTTGCTTATCGTGCATCTCGAGATCCTCTTGAACCATCGCAATATGTAGTTTTCGTTTAGCTTTTACAGCCTTAGGTTTCTGTTTTGGGCGGCCTTTTGCTTTTGGTGGACTTTGAAGATCGAATTCGGCTTCGCCTTCATCGAGGTTGACGCTGTTAACCACCTCGACCACCTCTGCACCTGATGGAGCCGACTGAGTCGACTCAGTGCCCAACTGGACCGACTGATCCAACTCCGTGCCCGATTGAACCAACTGAGTCAACTCCGTGCCCGATTGAACCAACTGAGTCCACTCCGCGCCCGATTGAACCAACTGAGTCAGCTCCGTGCCCGATTGAACCAACTGAGTCAACTCCGCGCCCGATTGAACCAACTGAGTCAGCTCCGTGCCCGATTGAACCAACTGAGTCAACTCCGCGCCCGATTGAACCAACTGAGTCAACTCCGTGCCCGATTGAACCAACTCCGTGTCCGGCTGGGCCACCTCGCTACTCGAGCGAGACGCAGGATCAGCGGCAGGAATAGCATCAAACTCACCATGCTTGAACAGCGTGGCCACGCTGCGTAGAGCTTCCATTGCCAACTTATACTCAGTCATTCCCAAACCGCTCATATGTTCACTAATTGTGGTCGCGACGAGATGGGCTTCTCGAAATTTGCGGTTGCTGTCCCAAACAGTACTCGCTTCCGGCAACACTCGGCCAATGGAGAACGGCTCGCTTGTAACCACTTCAAATGCACTATCCGAACGCAACGATGCCAACAACCACCTTGGATTCAACAGCTGCGTGGAAAGGATATTTTTGCAGTTAAGAGCCTTGCGAACAAAAAACACGTGACGACAGGGTAGCAACCGCGAAGTCATGAACAGGCATGAATATGACCAATTTCGCTTCGTGACAGAATACTCCGATCTGGGCTCGTCGAGAGCTTCTTCCTCTTCTGAGAGGTTCTGGATCATAATAACATCAGGTACCGGCTCATAGAAACTGTAGTTGGCACGCGTAATAGCGTACACGTACTGGTCGTAAACGAGTTCACACGCGTGCTCGCTCACCAAGTTGGATAGAAATTGCATCTCTCTATCGTACTTCGGATTATGCACTAGCTTCAGATTGTACAATGCGTCCATAAATTCCCTCTGTGATTGCGCTTGGTAACACATTATGGCCGCTATGCACTCGTCAACCCCCATGTATCCATTCACGAGCTCTTTCACCTGCTTCCATGAGGCTTCAACGGTTATTTGTGTTATTACCCATCGTCACGGCATTTTGACGTTCAAATGAGCACCACAGGAGTCCCAATTCTTTGAGAAATAGGCCTCGAAAGGGTGTACAACATCCTGGGCATCTTCTGCCGTACCGGTGCCTCGATCACCCAACTCAGTCGATCCAGCACCCAACTCAGTAGATCCAGCACCCAACTCAGTACGAGTTACACTTCCACGTCCAATTGTCATTATATGGCGCAAGTACTTTCGAAACCGTTCATATTCGCGCTCCGTCTTTGCGTAAACCAACAGATTCACGAGCCCTTGCGGCTGCTGCTTCTGCCAAGAAGTAAACCCGTATTGTGCTGAGGCAATTTCCTCGCGCAGATACTTCAAAACGTGAAACTGACACAGCAACACAATCGCTTCCGGGAAGACCACTTTGAGCACAGACATCTCCGTGAAATCTTTATCGATCAGTATGCATTTGATACGAATCCACACCGGATTGTTGCGCTTGAACTCCTCCAGGGCCGTCAATAAAGTATTACGGCGTTCATTTTGAACCACAGCATGCTGTACAAATTGACCCTTGCCAAAAGCATCGTGGGCCATGATCGAAAAAACTTTATACTTGGATGCATTCGTGCCGTGAGTGGCATCAATCATCAGGACCTCCGGAAACTTGTCGAAAAGAGCACGCATATGCTTGGTTTGCAGTGTAATGCATGTGGCGATTCTCTAAATGTGGATAAAAGTCAGTACCGTCCCCAAATATCATGACAAAAATGCGGCAATATCATACCTTGTCTTGCACTTTATCAACAAAGATACGACCAACGTTACCAGGCTCCTCGGTAAACTCGATCATCCATCGCTTCAGCCGCTTCGCGCTTGTGGGAGCGGTGTGCGCTTCTTTCTTAAGTTTGGCAACGAGATTATGTACATCTTTTTTGGTCGGCTCGCACGCGGAGTGGTCGTGGATGTAGGCCAATATGCTCTTCTTTTTGGCCCCCGCCTTTCGGAGTTCGTCCACCGTAAAAAACACCTCAGGTTCGTACGCAGTTCTAGTTTGTGGATACTGGCTGTGAGTGTGCTTCGTTAACGGGTGGTTGTGCTCTAGCCGCACAGACGTTAGTTTCAAAGCAAATTTCTGCCCAGAAGGATCAACCATTTGCACACAGGCATTGATCTGCAACCACAGGAAACTCTGTTAGCCCAACTCAACCCAACCAACCCAAATCGTACCCAACTGTGACCAACTACACCAACTCGAACCCACCTGTGCGCCCCACTGCATAGCTCTCGAGTGCTGGCGCTTCCTCTTGCCTTTGCCTTTTGGTTTGTATTT